TTTTTTTCAAAAAAGACCTTTTTTTTTTTTTTTTTTTTTTTAATGCTCCCATGCTCCGCACCTACGCTTGGCCTGGGGCCGAATGAGACCTCTTTTTTTTTTTAATATTTATTATTTTATGCTGTGGGTGTATTGCCTGCATGTGTATAAGTGCGCCTGTGTCAGAAGAAGATGTCATATCCCCTGGAACTGGAGTTACAGTCTCCAGCCCCAGAAGACCTCTTTCTTAATTGAGAATAGGCATTAGGACTGGGAGCTCTAGGTTAAAATGTGAAAGTGGGGGACTGGAGAACTGGCTCAGTGGTTAAGAGCACTGGCTGCTCTTGCAAAGGATTCAAGTTTGGTTTCCAGCACCCAACTGGTGGCTAACAACTGTCTGTAACTCCAGTTCCAGGGGATCAGACGCTTTCTTCTGATTGCTGCGGGCATTACACACACATAGTGTGCTCACATACATATAGGCAAAACATACATATACATAAAATTTTTTTGTAATATTTTATTATATTTTTATTTTATGTGTGTGCGTGTATTGCCCGCATGTAGGTAAGTGCACCCGTGTCGTGCAATGCCGGCAGAGGTCAGAAGAGGCTGTCAGATCCCCTGGGATGTGTGCGTGTATTGCCCGCATGTAGGTAAGTGCACCCGTGTCATGCAATGTCCTCGGAGGACAGAAGAGGCCGTCAGATGCCCTGGAACTGGAGTTTTGGACAGTTGTTAGCTGCCATGTGGGTGCTGGGATTTGAACCCTGGTCTTCTGCAAGAACAGCCAGTGTTCTTAACCTCTGAGCCATCTCTCCAGCCCCTCATACACATAACATTTTTTAAAAATTAAAAAAAGAAAGAGAGCTGGAGAATTGGCTCACCAGTTAAGAACACTGGCTCCTATTGCAAAGGACCTGGTTTCTATTCCCAGCACCCACATGTTGGCTAATAACTGTTCATAACTCCAATTCCAGGGAATCTGGTGCCCTCTTCTGACCTCCTCAGGCATTGCACCATGTGGGTGCACTTACACATATGCAGGCAATACACTCATATATACATAAAGTAAAATTATAAAAGCCAGGCGTGGTGGTGCACACCTGTAGTCCCAGCACTCAGGAGACAGAGGCAGGCGGATCTCTGTGAGTTAAAGGCCAGCCTGGTCTACATAGTGAGTTCCAGGACAGCTGGGGCTACAGGGAGACCCTGTGTCAAAAAGACAAAA